CACTACTCCACAAACCATCCTCCTCCTTTCCGATCCCCCCTCAAGCCTCAAGGGCAGCAAGAGCCCCTCGTTCATGCTACTCAGGAAGCTGACACTATGATCTGGAAAAGGAGATGTACCTGCACAATCGAAGGTACAGATGTTGCCAAGGAGGAAACATGGGCGTTACTAGCCAAGATGGTGGAAACTGAAATTCGGGCCAGATGGCGCAAGGTCACCGCAGCATCAAGGAAATTCCCCGAGAGACAAGCAATCAGGAGAACAACATTTCACAAGGATTGGCTGATAAGAGTTAGAATAGCAAGCATAGCGGGCAACCGCCTGATATGGAAGAAATGGCACCAGCTTCCACCCTCAAGATTTCGATGAGACAGGAAAGCAGCTGGCCTCCCTGAGGACTATGGACATCCCAGCAGGCCCCACAAGGCAGCAAAGCCACAGTCTTCTTCTTGACCTTAATCGTTACATCCGACAGACCCCCAGGGGGTATCTGAGAGGAAAGGAGACTAGGGCAAGCTGACAGTCAATCCTCCTGGTCAGGAGTAGTCAATGCTGGTCAGGGATCCTTCGGCCAGACGGAAGGAAGCGTGAGCGTGTGCTATGATGTATTTCTTTTTTGACTTGCCGGGGGAATAGGAACCGGACTGATGCTCCCCAGAATGGATATGGAGCCAGGACCATAAGGACCTGTTAAAAAAAAAAGAAAAAAAAAGGAATAGGTCGAGTGAACAACTGGCCTAGCTCAGTCGGTACACCCATGAACTGTTGAAATGCAGACCTGAGTTTGAATCAAGATGCAACCAGATGAGCAGAATTAAAAAAAAAAAGAAAAAAAAAAAAAGAAACTTAACCACAGCAAGAGCGTACTTGTGGTCGGGAGACCCCAACAAGAGAACTGTATACCAAAGATAGCCTGGCATTACATCACAAGGGAACCAGCCACAGGAGGTCTGGGTATCATAGACCCCAAACAGGAAACCAAATCCTTTCAAGTTAAATGGATAGTCAAACTATTGACTAAACCTGGTACAGCATGGAATAAACTGGCCTTGGATAAGATCAGGGGCCTAGCACCTACAGCCACACCAGCCAATATGTCTGGTCTGTTCTGGGTAATGACCACGGAATGGAGCCCAAGTACAGGGTGCAGAAATCAACGAAGAGGAGCATGCCCAAACGAAGCCAAGCCCCCCACACCATACTGGACTGCATTGCTATGGATATGGCGGGAAGTCATGCCGAAGGTGGGTAGACCCATAACCAAAGACGAGGTACTGAGGCAACCCCTGTTTGGTAATCCATGGGTGAGAGACGAAAGTGATCACCAACTATCTCTTAAGCCCAGAGGAAGGAGATGGCTATCATGGATCAAACATGGAGTTTGGAAAGTGACCCATCTGTGGGACGCGGAGAAAAAGGACTGGGTGACAGAACAGGAGCTCGCCCCCCCCATCTCAAAGGATGTCACTGATGAGATGAGAATCGACAGTCCATTATCAACTCCATCCCAGAAGGATGGAAGGAGCTGTTGAGCGAAGCCTCTGCCTGGAAATCGGGTGAATGGGGATTAAGGGTCCAAGATTTAACGCCCTCAAGGGCCTTCCAATTTTTCCCTGGCTGTGTTTACCTCTTTCCCAATTACCACCTCAACGCAAGGTCTCCCATCTACCCTGAATAAGGATGTGGAAAGAACAGTCCTAAACCCATTTGTGCTCAGAAAAGTAAGAGTGCTGGGGTCATGGCCAAAAACAATCTTCAGAATAGATACAGCGATTCTAGACTTGGAATTTGATCCAGCAGAGTGGGCTTGGACACCAGACAGAAACAGAAGTCTGAAAACAAATGTTGCCCTCCAGGAATACACAGTCAAACTGGGATGCAAGTTACCCCTCAAAACAAAGGATCCCTATCCAACAATCTAAAACAGACGGCATAAGTTAATAGGTCAGGACGCTTGTCAGATCTTACAAATACCATGGGAAAAATCCGACCGGTCAAATCAGAAGCCTCCAATGGCTCATCTCATATGTGGCTATACCAGTCAACCAGTGGTTGCATATCAGAAAAAGTAAGAATGACCCTAACAGTTCAGATTCATGCGTGCTATGTCTGGAAAATGAGCCAGAAGATATGCTACACTGCCTAATACGTTGTAGAGAGGCGGCTGAATATTGGCTAAGGCTTCGGACCTCTGGGACTCCCTCTTCTAGACTCCCCTCCCTGAACACCCCATCCAACTCCTATGGACTAACATCCCAGCCCAATTCCACAAGACAGAGAAAACGTGGTTTGGAATGATCAGAAAGGTAATGCTGTGGTCCATCTGGAAGGAAAGGTGCTGCACAACCATTGATGGACTTTCAACTCCAAGATAGAAGGTGTGGGACGAGACGAGGACCTTGATTCAGGCAGAGATTCTTTGTAACTGGCATAAGATGAGGCACTCCATGCCAGAGGACGAAGAACAACAGAGGAGAATTAAGGCAAAATTCACTAAGGTTTGGCTGGCAGGCGGCAAAGTAGCAGAGATAAATGACTCTCGCATACAGTGGAAAGACGCACAACTCAGAAGCAGGTTGCAGAAGGCAGAGATCCCAGCCAGCAGATGTACAAAATCCATCACAGGCCATGTAATCTGGAATGGCTAATTCGGAATTCCAAGATTGCATCTTCCATAGCTTCTAGACCTTTCTTGCTCTTTATGATTGATCTGGCAGGTTCAGGCAGTGGACCTGAGAGGAAAGGTCGACGTAAGGCAAGCTGACAGTCAATCCTCCACGATGTTTGAGTAATCAATGCTGGTCAGGGTTCCTTCGGCCAGAGGGACGGAAGCATGAGTGTGTTTCATCAACTTTCATGATGTAATACGTTATTTATGACTTGCCGGTGGAATGGGAACCGGACTGATGCTCCCCAGAATGGAAATGGAGCCAGGGACATAAGGACCTGTTTAACTCAAAAAAAAAAACACGTTCTCATGAGAGATTCACTTGCACTACAAACGGTCCCCAACTAAACTGGCAGGGTGGCCCGTGCATGCCCAAGGGAGGGGTGTCTGATGGCCATCTGAAGTTCTTTTTCTGTACTTGCAACATGCTCCCAGCACCCTAGAAAAACGTTCCAGCTGGCAGGTGGGCATTCCTTGCCAAAATGAGAGGGCCTGACTCTCCAGAATTCTATTGGCATGTGGTGCATGCAGCGCATACTGAAAATTTGTCACGAAGTGGTAGGCCCTCCCCGAAAAAAAAAAAGAAAGAAACCAAAAGAAAATCCTTCAATGCGCAAAAGAATGTGATTCTTCTGATTTGTGGCGGCTCATGCGGTATAGCACCGTAGCACCTAAAAAACTCTGGCGGGCAGTAGGTCCTCCCTGTTACAAAAACAATCGTGAGGATGTGCTGGTCCTTTGGAAATATCTAAGGCTGTGGCACACCATATGCCTAAGAGTTTCCAGACAGCCAGCAGGCCTTCCACACTCTCTCAAGTGGGTCACATTATTGAGACATGCACTGTGACGAAAACTCGCCTGCATCATCACGCAGCATGGGCAATAAATTCTCTGCATGCACCACACGAAGCTGCATGTGCAACTTCTTTCATAGCATTGCACATCACACGAGGATATAGGCCTGAGTTCACCCACTCCACCAGCATCACACTGATCTTAGAGAAAAAAAGCATGATACAATCCTATGTCAGATTCTGGAAGACCCCAGGCCTAGAGAAAAATTATAGATTCGACTGATGTATTGCATGGCAGGCATGCAATGTCCATGTGCATGATATGTCTGCCACTGCTACGGCATGTATGGTATGGTGTCATTCTCAGTTATAACACCAGATTTACTTATGTTTCCAAGGACAATGCATGAACAGAATAAGCTTGCAGCATTATAATTTGCACATACATACCACATGCATGAGAGTTTTGCCAAAAAGGAAGCCGTGAACTCTGAAGAGTAACATGCTTTATGGCACTTCAAAGAGCACGCAGGTATATGAATATGCTTCACACGTACATCGCAGGCCTCAACCAGACCCATTGAGTCATTATGCGCCTCCACAAGAGTGTTGAAGTCAGTCCCAGCATTTACTAGGTCAGAATACCGGCCTGCCTCAACAATCTCTCCATCTTTCATAACCTGTTTTCATCAGTTTCAACACACATGAGCAACCAGACAATGGTGGATTCAAGACTCTATCACTTTCATACCCAAATGAAAGTATGGAAAAGGGAGTGGCATACCCTGAGGAAAACAGCAGAGGGACGTTTAAGAAAGGCTCAAGAGAGAGTTAATTACAAAAGTTCCTTGGACATCTGGCAGCATTGCATGCTCTATTTGTAATCTGTTACAAGCTGTCACAAAAGTGTGATTGAGTAACCAGACAGTGGTGGATTCAAGATCACTTTCATACCCAATGAAAGTATGAAAAAGAGTTTGGCACACCCTGAAGAAAACAGCAGAGAAGTTTAAGAGAGGCTCAAGAGAGAGTGAGTTACAAAAGTTCCTTGGACATCTGGCAACATTGCATGCTCTATTTCTTTGGACATCTGGCAACATTGCATGCTCTATTTCTTAATCTGTTACAAGCTGTCACAAAAGTGTGATTGAGTGTGCCTGTTGTCAGATTCTCACTTTTGTCCTTTTCCTTTTCCTTTCTTTTTCTTAGGTAACAATTATTGCATCCAGCAGCATCTCACGAATCCTGAAACCTGAAATTTCCAGGCACCTCAGTACCAATTCAGACAGTCCTGATCCTGCAGTTGATGAAGTACAGACTGTACTCTAACCAGGTAACCAGACCGGAAATTATACCTGGATGTGGTAGCCCATGGATAAAACCGTTTATAAGCAGTTGTGCTGGATGGGAGCGGAGTGTGTGACTACTGCCTGTCTGGTGGATGCCTTTGTGTGGCATTGTGTGTGTGTGTGTGTGTGTGTGTGTGTGTGTGTGTGTGTGTGTGTNTGTGTGTGTGTGTGTGTGTGTGTGTGTGTGTGTGTGTGTGTGTGTGTGTGTGTGTGTGTGTGTGTGTGTGTGTGCGTGAGTTGAAGGACACTGCAGTCATGCAGGGGTGGGGTGGATATCACAAGCAGCATGGATCCACTTTTGTACACTGCCATGGCTGTAGTGGTTAGGAAACTCGGCTCTTGAGGCTGAGGGCGTCGGTTCGAAACCGTGCACGCACGGAGGAGGTCCTGCGGCTGATAAAGTACAGACTGATCCAGATTGTCCTGATGCCCGCCTGCTGTCCAGATATCTGGACAGTCCAGATCACTCTGGATCCGGACTGGATGTCTGGATCAGTCCAGTGTCTGGTTCTGGTGCAAACCTGCCTCAAACCTACATATCCATTTTAGAGACAGATCGGATGATAAGGCAAAACGTCTTGATGGATGTGAAATTGAAAAGCACGTCAGAGGGCAAAAAAGAGATCTAATAAAAGACCTACTGATAAAAAAAAGATAACTTGTATATCCTCTAAGGGTTCATACAACAATCTTCAACCCTATGCACGGCCACACCGCCCATACAGCCCATACAAGAACAGGCCCCTGAAAACCACCAATACGTTTCCGAGGGATACCACAGCAATTGACCTACTTGGTTGTTGGTAAGACAACTACCTGTGGTGAACAGCGATATGAGAGTCCAAAAGCGCAACCTCTGGAAACAAAAACATAACAATGTCGGAAACATGAATGCTTTGTTAAAACAGTTAATCTATGGGGTGGATGAAGCCTCACCAGGATGAGATCCGCAGAAGGAAGAAACTCCACTTGGTGTGTAACCAGGACTACAGTCTTGGCTGCTAAGGCATGAGTAATGCACTCCTGTGTTCATTCCCATCACAGACAAAGCCGCAGTAATAAGTTAATCAACACTTTAGATTGTTTTGAAAACAGCACTGCTTTGCGACATTAAGGAGATGTTCTCCCAACTTCCTCACAATGACATTTTGCATGCTGTTGAATGGTTGGTAAAGCTATTTGAGAAAAAAAGGCATCGGATGGATCCGATTAAATACGAGGAAGAAGTTTGCAACCTTTGGTAAGTCACATAGTGAGGCCGGTTGGAAAACTGTCTGCCTCAATAAACTGGTTGAGTTAACCAACTTCCAACTTGAACATACTTTCTTTCTGGTTGCTGGGGTGTTGCTTCGCGAAAAAAGCGGCATACCACACCGAGAAGGCAAATTAATAAGCGGAAAAAGGTATATCAATGATCTGCTAGTTCTTTCCTGTTTTCAAAAGAACGATCCGGTAGATTAGCACAGGGCTGAAGAGCGGCTTGATCGCATGACGAAATGCTATCCTGAGGGACTGGTTCTGGAACGGACTGATTCGGGGATCGGGATTGATTTTCTGGAGACTCGAATGTTTGTTTTTGAGCCAGATACATTCATCATCACGAGTCACAAGTTAAAAAACGCGATTCCATCCGGTCCTCTTGGAGTCTGCATTTTCACACTTACATGGATGTGCAGTTGTGGCTAATACTATCCTACAGATCTCACAGAAGTGCAACGATATCGGAATGGTCTTCTGGAGTGTGCTTACTCTGGCTGAGGAACTGAGGAAATCCAACTATCTGGTGCATGTCGTGCTTGCTGGGCTCCGTTGGATGATGAGAAGAACAAAGCTTCCCTTTTGGGACCAGATGCAGGAACTGGTAAAAAACCTGTTCACATGGTGATGCAGCCGTACAAATTTTTGTAGCATAGCCTGGACGTAAGCGGACAGTTGGTCTGCTATGGATCTATGCGAAGATGATCCTTTTGGAATGATATGGGGAATAAGACAAGGTATGTTCCAGTGATGTGCTACACGGGAGAAGTGGTAATTGGACAAGCAGCTTCGCCGTCGGGCTTTGCTAAATGTTTTCGAGGAGGGTCCGGTGAGTTTCCGCCTTGCAGTTTGCTTTTTTTTTTTTTTTTTTTTTTTTAAAAAAACAGGGCCTTATGGTCCTGGCTCCGTTCTATTCTGGGGAGCACCAGTCCGGTTCCTATTCCACCGGCAAGTCAGAATATACATTATATTGAAATTCACACACGCTTCCTTCCGTTTGGCCGAAGGACCCCTGAACAGCATTGATTGCTCCACCTTGGTGGAGGATTGACTGTCAGCTTGCCATGTCCCTCTCTTTCCTCTCAGATCTGGAGGCCAGATCTTCCAAATAGTACTATGCGACCTAGAAAGAGCTCATCCTTTGTCCCTGCTGGCCTGCGTCCTCCCCACTCATCTGCCCTGCCCGTGAGGCGTGCTATTCCCTGTCCCATTTCATCTGTCCCCCTTTCTTTAAATCATCCCTAAAACCCTGAACCTTAAATCCTCAACCTGTGTACCCATACTCCAACATCCCTTTGAGTCAACCTTTTCCCCTTGTTCTGATCTTTTGGTGCCATCCGTCCATCTCCATGTTATCCATCCATAGCTGTAGTAGTTTAGGCTTGTCAATCTCTCGTGGAAGTCTGATCAGGAGGTGTTTTGCCCGTCCACAGTTATCTGTTGTCGCTAGCCTCTTCCTGAGTTTGAATTGTGCCAGTCTTTCCGGCAATTGCAGTCATCTCGTGTTCAAGAGGTGATTGATCCAACCGCGTTTAACCGCTGTTGGAAGCTTCTTTCTGGCACTGAGTTATGCCACTCTTTCCAGCAGATACGGTCCTCTCGTATCTCTGCAATCTTGCCATTTAACAACCAATTCTTGTAAAACCTCACTCTCTCGTTCTTTCGCTGTTCCTCGTCTTCTGTCCTGGCTTGCTTGGTCTTCCGCCATCTGCAAAGGGTCTCGGCTTGTTTCATCGTTCTGGTTTCCACCCGAACCTTCTCCCGTGGTCTGGACTGTCCTTCAATTGTTCTGCTGCATCTCTCTTTCCTTTTTTTATAACAAAAGACAAATCGCAATGGATGAAAGAAACTGCCAGCCTGTCTCTAGGTTGCATTTTGGAGCCAAAAGAACTGACCATCCTACCCCCAGGTTACCACTACCTAACTTATCCCTCCCCTCTCACTTTCAATATATCCTCCCCTTAAACCCTAAACCCTAGTGCTATCGTTTCTCCTTCCACTCTACCCCTCTGTCTGATTACGTTCTATGTTTTAAGACTCTACTCAATCCTCAGTAAAAATTTAAGTGACCTTTTTTTTTTTTTTTTTTTTTTTTCCGGTTCCTATTCCACCGGCAAGTCATGATAAAAGATATATCAAAAATACTCACTCACGCTTCCTTCCGTCTGGCCGAAGGACCCCTGACCAGCATTGATTGCTCCAACATCGTGGAGGATTGACTGTCAGCTTGCCCTGCTTCATCCTTTCCTCTCAGGTCACATGGTACAACCTGTCATATATATCATGAGTAACGAGAAAGGTCCTAGCAGATAACAACTCCTCCTATTTTGTCTGAAGTACATAACCCCATATGGAAAAACAAAATTTTGCTAAAGCTAGTCTCCCATCTACTTCTTAAGGCAACCTAAACTCCTGTGTAGACCGCTGATCATCTATATTATCCTCCTGATTCTTCTCCTTGAACCAATGGAAGATCAGTTTTTGTCCTTCAATCGTCGCAACTTTGCCTTGGGCTAATACCCTGTTGTGATATTTAGATAAGATGTCCTTTGCCCTTTCTGGATTAAGCTGAAGTTGCTTCTTTGTTCTACTCCATATTGCCCTAATCTCTGTTTCCAACAAGTTATAGAGTATTGCCTTGGCTTCCCCTCTTGTCAACAAAGTCTTACCCACCACCCTTTGACATCTTCGTTTCCAGATTGTCCATAGGGTGGACTGTCTCAAAAGTTGAAAGATATATTTCTGGCCTGACTTCCATCCTCCAGGAACTTCACTTCCAATCAATATTAATTTTCTGTTATGTGGGAATGGGATGTCCGTAGTCTGCGCCCATAATTCACGTGATATGGACCAAAGATGTTCTGCATCCGTGCAATGGAGCAAGCAATGTATCAGAGTTTCCAATACACCTCCCGAACACATAACACAGTCCTGATCCGTGTCATTCCTATTGATCCTATTTCGTCTACCGAACAACCAGACATTGACTGGGAGTGCTACATAAAAGATAAGTCACTGCATACTCCTAACCTTAGGCAGCCTGATGCTGTGCAGATTTGACCAAGGTAACTTTTCTATCTGGACCCTAGGTATATCTAATGTCTTCTCCCATCTTCTTGCCAACAACTGGCGTGGTCTCTCCTTCAAACGGTAGCCCAGTTTAGTAGTATACTGAAGTATATTGATTCTCCTGCTTACTCTTGACGAACTTCCCCTTATATTCCATGCCCACTCTGCTGGATCAATTTCCAGATCCCTAATGGCTGTCAGTGGCTCAAATATCGTAAAATCTTCATTTTCAACCACTCTGATCTTTCTCAGGATGCTTTTCTTGATGACTATCGGAACCCTGGATTCCCTATCCAGCTTACTAACAGTGAGTCCTGGAGATAGTATTGTGTACATATCTGCTTCAACCCACTAGTTGAGAGGGCCGACTTCCTGTCTTATACAAATGGTTGATTCTGGTTCATCATTAGTGGTTATTGTTGCCCAATCTCCCCCGCCCCATTTGTCCGGTTCCTTCAGTATTGTTGTCCACTCATCCGGGATGGAGATGAGAATGTCATTCAGATTTTCCGTTCGTCTGTGATATCCATTCATTTCGTCTCTCATCTCCCTACCTGTTTTCCATCCCCCCTTGTCGTCTGACCAAAGATGTTTTACCTGCCATACACCGTGTTGTAACCACTTCCCCCGTTTGGCATCTTTTGATGTTAGTGTTCTTGGCTTTCCTTGAGAGTCCTTTAACCATGGATTACAGAATAAGGGTTGCCTAAGTACCTCATCCTTCATCTTCGGTTTTCTTACTCTCGCCGGGAAGACCTCCTCCCATATTTTGAACAATTGAGCCCAATATGGACCCCTAGTAATCCCTTGGTTTACTTCGTGATTCTCAATTCTATCCTTCTTCGTTCAACCCTTACAAAATAACCAGAAAGTACCCTTCATATTGTCTGGCGTTTTATATCTTGCCATCTGACGTATGTGATCGAGAACCGAAGGGACCCACCCAAGGTGAGGCTGTGTTAACAACTTTATAATCCACTTAGTCTGAAGTGCCCTTATCTGCTGCCCTGGATCCAAAAATCCCAACCCTCCCTTATCCTTTGGCTATTTCGTTTTCTACGGGTATTAAATTTTGAAGAGAGGGCCCGGTAAGCCCCTTTCGCAAGGTGCAAATTATGATGACCATACTTTGGTACCCAGATGGGTACCTGGGGTTATTCGGGTGTAGGTAATCATTCTGGGAAGGCCGAGTACCGGCCTTTGAACGCAGCCTGAGTGGACACGCGGTGAATTATATATCTAGATAGTAAGTAGTAGCAAATTACCTCAACTTGAGTGCCGTAGAGTGGAAGGGTTGAGTTCCTGGCGGTGAAGATGGTTTCAGGGAGTGGATGTGGGGAAGATGATGTACACCATGATATTAAAGCTCGAATCATCTTCTTCATTTGTTTTCCATTGTGTGTAATCTGTTCTCACTGCTGGCTCTGGCTCACCATTTGTCAGTTGGCACAACTGCAGCTAAATTACAGACTCGTGCTGGCCACCATTGTGGATGGAGGCACCTCAAAGACTATTGTGTGGCTACCCAACTCTATCGACTATTCGACCTGGTCCAACACATCAACATAAATAAAAAATGAGGTACGTCTGTAGGCTATGGCATAATTTTCACGGTTGGATCACAGCCAGGATTCTGCTGTATTCTTAGTCTGACTGGCTGGAGGACTCAGCCTGACGGAGTGCAGCCCGGACGTCACCCTAACAGTACTCAGTCCTGGGCCACGAAAAAGTGTGTGGAATGGAAATGAGAGAAGGTCACAGTGGTAGTTTTCTCGGCCTTTTGGATATGATCAAGTGTAGTATCTGTTTGGTGGTTCATCGGTGGGAAAAAAAGAAGAAGAAGAAGAGAGAGAGAGAGAGAGAGAGAGAGAGAGAGAGAG